TATTAAACTTATAAACTGAATATATGTCCAAGCATTATGTCCAATATCCAATTTGTTAATATATAGTGTAAAAAATAGTTGAACATATATCCAATGCCAATACTGACTTTTAGTATTGTGACAATATAACAATTAGGATTTCTATAAGCTATAAAAAATACGGTTCCGATCAATTCACCGACAGTCACTTCACCGAATGCTCATTTAGCCGACATCACATAGGGTTAGGGCTAAGCATTTGATAAGTTATAGGTATATATTTTTACTAAATTTCACCTGGAGTGATTGTCGGTGAAATAGTTTGCAAAAAGTATTGACGATATAAATTATTTGACAATGTTAGTATTTTGATCCGAGCAGTATGTTAAACAATCGACCCACGTTAATATTTTGGTAATGAAAAATTTTAGCGTGACAATTTGGATTACTGATAACAAAACATTCATTTAAAGGGGGTGTACGATGTACTGTATTTAAAGTAGGGTTGTGGACATGGGAAAAAATTTGGGCATGCCCCGGAGGGCATGCCTCTCTATATACAGTCAGACCTCCTAAATGCATAATCCTTAAATGTATAGTCAGCGAAAGACCTCTCTTAATGCATGGCCTTATTTGGTTCCAATTCATATAAACCTATTGTTATAGATTTTTATCTCCCTAAATGCAAGCCGCTCCTCGGTTATGCATTTAGAGATGTCTAACTGTATAACCAGATGCTACACTGCTAGATCTAACTACTCCAAGAACACCAAAAATTCTGTACTCAGGTGTAATATAAAGTTTTCTAAACCATATATAACCTTCGTATTCCACTTTAAAAAATTTATCACTGTTAATTTATATTCATATAATACGGGGATGCTTAGAGGGCATGCCCAACCCTAATTTAAAGACAATGTATACAGTAGCGTATTTATCAAAAGCATATGAAGTCTGACTAAGAAAATAAAAATGTCGAAAAATTTATTTATTTGGTTAAAAACTAAACGAAATGAAACGAAATAAACGATTATACAATAGTATTAAAGTTTTTAGTAAATTATAAAACCTGTGAACAATATGCAAGTTATTAAACTAGAAATTATTAGATATTGACTCTGGTATTTGTATTATCGATTATATCAGGGACAATACCAACTTTATCCCATTTTAAAACATCAAGATCATATTGTTCTAAAGGTCTTTCTTCACCTTTACTATTAATCCTTATACCTTTAAATAATGAAGTTTTAGTTGATAAATCACTTTCCACTAGAGAAACATATTTTATGAAATTGCAAGTTCTACGAAATGATATCTGAGCTTGTTCAGCAGAAGGAAACCTCTATGATCATGAAAAAAAATAAAATAAATAAACGTAAGTGGTGTCAGTAAAAAAAATGAATAAATTATTTTAAATTTAAATATTATATCTCAATAATTATGAATATTTTTAAAGTTGAATATTTAAGAATTTTATACCTATGAAATTTTAAAATATACAAACTTGTTTGAGATATTTGAATTTTAAATTTAAAGACTTAGAAAAAAATTTGTCTCCATTTCTATTGACTCCCCCCCATATATATAGATATATATGTATATATTAAAGACGAAAAAAAAATTATAATTACCTGCCAACCGTGAGGCATATCATCATAAACTTCCAATATAACACTAGTTGGTTTTTGAAATGGAGATTTATCAAAGTTTGAAGTAGAATATTGTGGAATCCTAAATTTATGTGGTTGTGTTGCTTTATGACCAAAAAGTACGACTTCATTATGTACCCTTTCAATTTCTCCTACTTGCTATTTAAAAAACATAAAATTTAGTTATAAAATTAAAATTAATTAAGTTTAAAAGAAAATTACCAATAACATGGGAGGCATGCCACCCAAACTTTCAGCCAATAACGGGCTAAAAAAAAA